CATCACTATGAGAATGGCTGTTCCTCCCATAGCCCCTTCAGCCTAAGGTAGAGCTATTCCAACCTATCCACGAACCTGAAGCAGGGACACCTGCCCCAGCCTCTTCCACTTAAGGTTAAGCCACCAAACCAAGCCAGGCCTGAAGCAACAGAAACCTTCCCATCCCACCACCCCAGGCCCCCTAAAAAAAGCCTTGGTCTAGACATTGTTCTGCCATACTGTGACCTGGGCATGCTTTTTCTCTGCCCCAACTGTGAATGAGAAGGCTCAGATGAACTTGTCTCTAAGTCATTTTTGAATTGATTCCAGGTGTAGAAATATCTACCTCTACCAGCATGGAACATTAAAACAAACAAAAACAAAATACTAACTTGAAATTTCATTGGGGAGAATGTAGACCTAATCACGACTGGGTAGTTTATTCATGTGCTCCTTCAATCAGTCATCATTTATAAACATGTGATATATGCATTATGTACTTGTTACATGGCAAACAGTACTCGTGGCCTGAACATCAAAGGCGAGCAAAACCAGGGTCCACCCTTGTCCTCATGGAGCCAGTGGTAACACTCACATTATTTAAATGAAACCCAGGTCTGAGTCCTCCAGCAGGGTAGCAGAGGGAGTGGAGAGGAAGCCCACATTCAAGGGGTATGTTGCAAGAAGCCATGACAAGACTCAGTGACAGGTTAATGAAACATGTAACAGAGTGGAATGCCAAATACCTCTTCTCACCCAAGCATTTTGGTCTCTATCCCCTTAATAAGATTGCTCAATCAAAGCTTCAGATTGGAATCTCTTGAAGTACTTGAAAAACTTGAAAAAAGAAAAAAAAATGCTAGGGGTGGGAGTCCTACCTCCAGAAATTCTGATTTACTTTGTCAGCATTAAAATCATTATTTTTTAAGTGTCCCCACCCACAAAAATAGGTCTAGAATAGCTGTCTGCTGTGAACAGGATACATCCTGTATAAATTTCTATTGCTGCATAAATACTAAACAAATTAACAAATAGAAAATAAGCAAATTTAGCAGCTTAAAACAATATTGATTTACTGGCTCACAGTTCTGTAACTCAGAGGAATGTGTAGGCTCACTTGTGTTCTCTGTTCAGGTTTTACAAGACCTAATCAAGGTGTCAGATGGGTTGAACGCTTATCTGAAGTCTCTGGGGAAGAATCCATTTCCAGGCTCAAATTGTTAGCAGCATCCAGTTCCTTATAGCTATAGGACTGAGGTCCCCTTTCCCTTGCTGGCTGGCTGCCAGGGGCCGCCTGTATCCCTACTCACATGCCTTTCTCTTCAAAGCAGTAACCTGCGTGTTGAGTCTTCTTCATGCCTAGACTCTCTTCGAATTCCTCTTCTGCCCTCCCCTTTTGCTACCAATAGGAGAAAATTCTTTCTTGATTGATTATATTGGGCCCACCTGGATAGTCTTCCATTTTTACGGTCAACTGTGCCTCTTAACATAATACAATCACAGGAAGCATGACTCATTACATTCACAGGTTCAGGGGATTCTGGTATGGAATCTTGAGGGCGATTTCTAGAACTTCAGCCTACTATGTATTACAATCATCTAGGTAAGTGCCTGGCACTTAGTAGGTCCTCAAAGCATACTTGTTAAATGGAATGGAATCAACTGTGACTTTACTGTGGCAAAGAGAACGCATAGATAATCAAAGAGTGGCTGATAAATGGGTCATTTGTCATGCTTACTTGAATCTAAGCATATATTATTTTTTAAAACTTTTTATTGAAGTATCTTTTTCACACACACACACACCCTTCCACAAATCAGATACATATGGCTCAATACCTTTTCACAAACAATATATATATGTGTAAACAGCATGCAGCTCAAGAATCACAACATCCCAGCATCCCAGATGCCCTCATGGTGTTTCCTTCCACTTACTAACCATTCCCTGCACTTACATTCCCCCCTTCATACACTTAGAGGAACCCCTATCCTGACTTATAACGCCATAGATTCATCTTGTCTGGTTTTTGAATTTAATATAAATGGAATCACACATTATGTAGTTCTTTTTGTCTGGCTTTTTTGGTTCAACATTCTGCCTGTGTGTTGTGATAGATAACCCCCCATGATAACCCCCAATGATCCAACCTCCTAATATTCATGGCCTCCCTTTGAGTAACTTGCATCTAACTAATAGAATATGACAACATTGAGTGGGTGGCACTTCTATGACTAGGTAACAAAAGGTTGTGACTTCCATCTTGCTAGTAAACTCCATTTAGCCTTAGCTTGTGTGCTTTGATGAAGCAGGCTGCCATGTTAAACACAGGCTCTTGCGGCAAAGTACTAAGGATGATCTCTGGCCAATAGCCAACAAAGAACTGAGGCCCTCCATCCAACAGCCTGTGAGGAAGTGAATTCTGCCAACTACCACTCAAACTTGGAAGCTTATCTTTCCCAAGTTGAAACTTCAGATGACTTTGGCCCACCAACACCTTCATAGCAGCCTGTAAAGGACTATGAAGCAGAAATCCCAGCTAAGCTGTGCCCAAATCTCTGTCCCACAGAAGTTGAGATAATAAATGGGTGTTAATTTAAGCCTCAATTTTGGGTTGATTTGTCGCCATCAAATTTGTTGTTGTACGCAGTTGTAATTCATTACTTTATAGAAGGATTTGGTAAAACTTTTTTCTGTAAGGGAAAGACAGGAAATATTTTAGGTGTTCCAGGCCAAAAAGCAAAACTAAAGCTATTATGTAGGTGCTTCTATATAATTTTCACATGTGACCAGATATTCTTCCCCCCCCCAACCATTTAAACATGTAAAAACCATTTTTGCTCATGAACAAGACAGAGGTAGTAGGCTATATTTGGCCCATAGGCCATAGTTTGCTAACCCCTGGATATGGGATGGTTTGTTTATACCACAATTCATTAACTGTTTCCAGTTTGTAGCTATTACAAATAATGTAGCCATGAACATTCCTGTATATGTCTTTTGGAGATGTGTAGGCGTATCTGCCTGCCACACACTTACAAGTGGAACTGCTGCGTCACAGGATAAGCATATATTTAGCTTAATGTGCCAAATGGTTTTCCAAAGTGTTTGTATCAATTTGCACAACACCGGCAGTATTTATGAGTCCTTACTGCTCCACAGTCTTGCCAAGAATTGCTATTTTCTGTCTTTTCCTTTTGGCCATTCTAGTGAGAACTCTTTCGTCCTATCCCCCAGGTGATCAGCCAGAATTGAAAGCCCCAGCTTAACTTCTGCTTATCCTTTATTAGGTTAAGCCATGTGATACTGTTCTATTTCTAGGTTTAAAAAAAAAAAATCAATATTGGCTATTTTTTATGGTTAAACTAGTACTTCCTTCACATCTTATTTACATTTATACTAAAAATGAAACTCAAACTAGAATGTACATCAATTGGGAAAAATCTTAAAGATTTGAGCTGAAATAATGTTAAGTAAAAAAAATATTTCAGTGACTTTTACATTTTAGTATCATCCAGATCCTTAAAAGATTGAAAACAGACCAATGGTTTTCATCTTCCTTGAACATGAGAATCACCTGTGGGTTTTTAAAACTAAAATGTCCCTATCCAAATACTCAGAAATCCAGATTCTGTGAGATTAAGGTGAGGCTTAAGAATGTTAATGTGAGGCCAAGAATCATCGATATTTCTGGTCGCATGGCTTTCTTTTACAAATGTTCTACCTAAGGAAAGACTTACATGAGAGGGGAGAGAAAGCACCCAGATTTCAGTTCCTTCCAGAAATGCTTGGTTATTAATTAGGTTGGAAAAATTATTTTATCCATGGCAAATACTCATTGTGTTTCACTGAACAGGTCTCTGGCTACTATACCAAGGATTGGAAGCCTTGGGTTTGATTTGCACACAGCTCTATGGACACGCAGTTAAAGTATCACCGATGGCATTTAATAGTTACACACAGGTATTTTTAAAAGTACCCAGACACAGCCATATTACCCAATAGTAGGATTAGGCACATACATAGTGACCAGAAAAACAGTGGCGCATGTACACACTCAAACAAATTATTATTTTTTTAAATTATGACCGAGACAAAGAAAATCTAAGTAGTCATCTTTATGGGAAGAATCGAATCTTTGTGGTTCCTAATTTTCCAGAGTAGTTTTCAGAAATATACATATTTTTTGGGGGGGGGGGTAGCTATATATATAGGCAAGGGGCTAGAAGAGCTGGGTGCTGACTGGAAGTGGCACCATTCGAATTTCCAAGCTCAAGGCCTTTAAAAGACTTACTACAGTCCTGAGTCAGATTTTTTCCCTAAGACCATCCCCTTACCTCTACCAGCCATAACTGCATCTGCATTTCCACGTTCAAGAAAAAAAAAAAAAAAAGAGGTCTGGGAACTTCATTTTTATCAGTATTTACCAGCTCTGGAATTCTATTGCCCTCCACGTGTTTCTTTCTCCTGTCTGCTTACAGCACCCCCAACGCCTGGAGTTAGGACACAGGGTCAGAAGTTGAAAGAACACGAATTCTTAGGCGTTGTTAATTATTAGGCCCCATCACAGACCGTCAATGGGCTTCCAGGCCAAACAAGCTGAAAGCCTCCTAGCAGGGAAGCAAGACAGCCTTCCATCATCAGACATCCTCAGGTGGGATCCCGGTTCCTAAATTTGGTTCCTAATAACCCCTTGAGGATGATGCCTGTTGGGGATTTTTAAGCCATCCCCCACCCCATGTTAAGTGTTTATCCACCTGCACCACCTGGAGGATCAGACGACCAGCTATATCACTTGGCAGGATTCTGCAGAACCCCGAGTATCCCAGGGCGCAAAGGAACAACTTTTAACCGCACCCTGTGCAGCGGCTCTCTGGCCCAGGTGGGGAACCACAGCCAGCTGGTGGCTCTGCTCTCCTCACTAAGTAGTTAGCCAAGCAGGCCGGCGAACAAGCCCAGAAGATCCCACCACAGACACCTCCGCCTCCGGCCCTCCGCACGACCTCTGCCAGGTGCTCACCCACTTCCAATTGTCAGCGAAGAGCTCAATCTCGGGTCTCTATTCAGCGCCGAACGAAGCCCAGCGCATAGCATCCTGGGAAATGTAGTCCCGGGCACGTCCGGGGGTCGCCGGCTCCGCCCCCGAGACACCTCCCCCCGCTCCAGGAGGGATTATTCTGCCTCGGCCGGCTGCAGCCAGAGCTGCGGTCCGAGTGTGGAGACGGGGCAGTCCCCTGGGGAGGATTCGGCGTACCCTCCCGGGTCCGAGGGAAGTGAGGGAACTACACTTCCCAGGCTGCCCTGCGCGGAGCCGGAGCTTGCAGCCTCGCTTTGCGTGACCGCGGCAGGTTGGTCCTAGAGCAGATGAGCGCAGAATATTTAGGCGAAAGCGCGAGGAGGGGGGAGCGCGGGGCAGGAGGAGTATCTCGGCCGAGAAAATTATGCATGCGTTAGGGAAGCTCTGAGAGAATGGCTGTGGAAGGTAAGGGACGCTTGGGCATTTTAAGCTCCCTCTTAACCCGCGCACCCCAATACACACATCCCTGATGAATCTTGGGGAACGTGGGGAGGAGAGGAAAGAGGGTGGTGGCGAGCGGGCCCTTTCTTCCTACACCTCTTGGCACTCACCTGAGCCACGGAAGGCCAGTAGGCGCTTTCTTCAGTTGCTTTGGAAAGACATGTAGGTGCGCAGGACTTTGTGGTTGGAGGCGAAGAGTACCCCTAATGCGACACGGTGTACTGGAAATGGGGGGAAAGCCGGAGAGACCGGCATGAGGTCTCAGCCCGGAGGTGCCCCTTCGCTATCCCCTTTAACTGAGGCCGGCTGGGTGGCCCGGGGGCTGGGGATGCTCGTTTTGCCCCCCACACGTGGGAGAGGACCCTGGCCAGGTGCGTCATCGGGAAGCATGGCCCTCGATTGGGTCCAGGGCCCCTATCGTGGGCACCCGGCGGCGGTGGCAGGAGATGTACTCAGAGGGTGGAGGTGTCCCTACACCTGTCTCTGTTTATACGACCATCCCGGGGTTAGCAAAGTTTATAGAAAAGAAATGGAATCAGCCGGGAATAAAAAAGACCAACCAGTCTCTTCCATGTGGGTGAATTCTTTTCTTCGAAGACCACCTTCCTCTTTTCTAGTATAATTATGGCCTCTGGCTTTGCAGTTTTGGCTCTACAATACTGTCTCCTCTGAACCTCCGGGATGAAAGCAGGGGCAGGAGGTTTGTGAGGGATCCCGAGTCTTCCTTTCAGATTCTCTTCCCTTGGAACACAGACTTTTTTTTGTGGAGGGTAGTTTATGGGGAGAAATATGTGGACCAGATGTGTTTGCGGTGTCAAATTAGAGGTCAAACTGTGCCTGAACGATAAAATGCGGTAATCATGGGACTGAAGGAGAGCCTACAGTTCCCCGCAGAGTTATCCTGAGTGTGGCTCAGGTAAGAGGGGAACTGGGGTAGGAAAAAGAGGGCATGCCTGCCAGTGCATCTGGCTCCTTGCCAAGGGGAAATGAGTCTGTTCCTTGTAGGCTAGAGGCAAGAGGGAACCACAAGGCTTGCTTCCCTCTCCCCTCCCTGCCCCAGGAGAGAGCAATTGAACTACTCTGACTCCTGCTCTCATTATAATTACTTAACCATCTGAAGTAGCAACAACCCAGTTCTTCTGCTCAGTACCTTAACTCAAAAAACTATTGCCTTTGGGCTGAGGTTCAGAGTGCCCCAGCTGGCTACTTTTAGTTATCTATATTATATTCACATCTATCGTTTTTATATTACATCTCTAACATACATGGCTTTGGAAAAAAAATAGCCAAAGATGTTTCTAAGTGTTCTGTACTGTGCAAACGTAATAAGGTGAGAATCTGGCTTTCTGCATCGTTACAGTTGATTGTAAGTGAAACAAGACTTCAGATGAGCAAAAAAAGATAAAAAAGATAAAGTTCCTCCTGAGCTTCAGGCCAAGGTTAGGTTGACCTGCTGGCACCCCTTCTTGCCTCACCCTTCAGATGACCTTGGTTATTCTCTTTTTCTCTGCACTTTTCTATGTTTCCAAGTGAGGGACACTCCCACTGGTTGCCAGTCCGCAGTGTATTTGAAAACAATTTCCTGTTCACTGTAAGAAGTATAAAATTAGTCATATTTCTCGTCTGATGAGTTATACCAGCAGTCAGACCTTGCGAGAAAACAAGAACTTTGGAATGAACTACACGTAGACTGCAGAGACTTATTTTATTTTCTAGAGATTTTTTGGTTCAAGTGCTTGTCTAGTAAACAGGAGATCCCAAGTTTGAATCACAATGAAGTCTCAACTTGAGGACTGAAGGAAGTCATTTAAACTTCAGCTGCAAAGAGGATTCCCTAGCTCTGTTTTTGCAAAGGCAGTTTGCTCAGCCTAGTGGCGCTTCTTGGCTACTCTCACTTGATCTTTCAAAAGGCTCAGGGAAAACTTCTCTTCCTCTGGGAGCCTGTCTCAACCCTTTGTTCCCTCTGCCTTCCCAGCTCTCTGCCCTGGTCTGTGGGAGGTGCCTTCTGCACTAAGCTTTCCTAGTACCTGTGCTTACACCTATTTTAACATTTCCATACTCAATCTCTCACTAGACTATAAGCCAGTAACCCCTTCGGGGTTGGGACCTTGTACTTTTTGACTTTATATTCTCAGCCCATAGCGCAGTACTTGACCCAGAGTAGGTTCTCAGTAAATGCTTATGGAATGTATGGGAAATAAATTCATGGCCACTTTTGTAACTGACTCCATAAGTGTGCATGGGGCTTTCTTAGGAGCCCAAGCGCCATAAAATAAGGGACTTCTGAGAGATTTGAAGGTAAGGGAAATTTTTAAAGGAAGTGCCCCTCTCTTCAGTCTTTTGTCCTGATGCTCAAAGAATCTTCTAGAGCAGTGGTTCTCATCCAAGGGGTAACAGTCCTCCAAGTGTGTGATTGGGATATGTTGGGTCTGCTGTTGGTATTTTTTTTGTCCATGGGCCAGGGATGCTATATGTCCCTCAGTGCATGGCCATCCCATACAAAGTTCACAACCCAAAACCAAGTAACAGCTAGTGTCCCTAGGTTCATTGAGAAACACTGATTCAGAGAAGGAATTTGGCCAGAGGAAGTGGAATAGGACGTCTTACTTAACATCTGAACTTTAGTTTCTGCATCTGGGGAAAAGGGTACACTACTGTTTACTCCCTAGGAAAGTTGGGAGGATTTAATAAAGGAGAGGGCTTATGGAGGGTGCTTTGAACATAGATCCTCAGTAAATGTTTTTTGTACTCCCATCCTTCTTAACAAAACAAAGAAAAGCTTTACTGTTTGGCATGTTTTGTATCCTGAATTTTCACTTATTCATACAAACCTAATTAGTAGCAAAGTAGAAGGTTTTTTTATTATGTGTAACCTGTTTAAGTAAGCTTGACCTTGTGTTAAGTGTAAAGTGCTAAAAGTAGTAAAAGTGTTAAGAATAGGGAGCTCGGCGCCTGGGTGGCTCAGTTGGTTAAGCGACTGCCTTCGGCTCAGGTCATGATCTCGGGGTCCCGGGATCGAGTCCCGCATCGGGCTCCCTGCTCAGCGGGGAGTCTGCTTCTCCCTCTGACCCTCCTCCCTCTCATGCTCTCTGTCTCTCATTCTCTCTCAAATAAATAAATAAAATCTTAAAAAAAAAAAAAAAGAATAGGGAGCTCATTCATTTTGCTGAACCCTTAGCCTTGAGTTTAAGATGATAAAGAGGTGCCCTTTGTTTTATGGCTACCCTGGGTTATGTTTTCTTCTCTGAATTTAATTACAGTATCTTGTTTCTATTCCTTAGCATGGTGGCGACCCATGCCTCGCATTTACAGGCAGCTGGGCAGCTTAGGGTTATGCTTTCCAGCCATAGAGTACATGGTCTGCATTTAGGTTGGGATTATGTTTACATCCATTGTCTTTTAAAAAAAAAATTGTATTTTAGTAAATTACCCTAAATAACTGGAAAAATTAGGGCCACTACAGAGAGGTAGCATGCAGAAACCAAAAAGTAATCCGTTCTCCATGGACAGACTGTGTAGATGATTGTGTCCATGAGGTGATGTTTAACAGAAATGGATTGCATTATTACACAGGGAGAGGAAAAAAGTGGACTCATCAGGGACAGTATTGTATTCATCTCTGTATTCCAAGGTTGGTGCTTGGCACTTAAAGGACTGCAGTAATTGTTTCATGAATGGAGTATAAATGTGCTGAAGCAAGAGAAGGGTATTCCTACTCCTTGTTCACATTTCCTTCCCTTCTTGCTTCATCCTCAGAGCTGCATAAGCAAAATGGGGTGGATAAACTTTTGTGTGTAGTGCTTCTATTTCAGATCTAATAGACTCTTATGTGGCATAAAAATGATTTCCAATATTCAGCACTCCCCATCCCCAAAGATTTCAAATGGAAGGCAGTATGCTCTAGATGAGATATCTGTGTTAAGGAATCTGAACTTTCCATCCTAAATGAACACATTGGCTATCAAATGGCCTCAAAGTCATTCAAGGCTCAGGTTTTAGAATTTTTCTCCTGTAAAAGAAAAAAAAAAAAACTGCCCATCACCAAGTTATTGTAAGGATACATAATAGCAGCTGGGAGAAAGGGCAAATGAGCTAGTCAGACAAGCATAGCAAAGAGAAGGAGTCGTCAGTGAAGGCTCTCTACCCCATTTGAATTCAGAACTGAGTCACAGAGACTCATGATGGGAGATACAAGTGTCCTCTTTATTACAAACCTCCATACCTCCATGGGTTTTTGTTTTTGGTGGTTTTTGTTTTGTTTTGTTTTGGTTTGGTTTGTTTTTTTGTGTGTGTGTTTTGGTTTGTTGTTTGGCTTTGGGTTAGATGATAAAGTAGACTTGTTAATATTGCACCCAAGCAGAGCACTTGTCCCTCCTAGGAGTTGCTGCCCCTGTAACAGCCTGGGGAGCCCAGAGAACATAGGCTCCTGCAGCAGGCAGATGGGACTCCAAGGGAAGGAGAGAGGCAGGAGACACGTGTGCTTTGTTCCCTCTCCTAGACTTGAATGTCGGTAGTTGTGTCCTCTTCTGAATCTAATTACCCCTGAGAGAGTGGGGAGAGACCGAAGTGTCCTCACGGATTTCCCCTCCTGTGAAGCCTGAAGCAAGGAGGGCTGTCAGAGCTAGCCCACCGACATTTTTCTAACTGCGATTCCTTCTTGAAAACATCGAGTGTAATCACCTCTTGTACTTGGTGGTGCTGGTGCTCGGTGCAGGTAGGCACTGTGTCTTAGGCCAGGCCCGTGGTAGACCCTTTA